TCTGTAAAGAGGTCTGGTGCCCTCTTCTGGCCTGCAGACATGCACACAGACAGAATATTGTATACATAATAAATAAATAAATATTTAAAAAAAAAACTCATCCTTTTGTATCCTTGGAAGTTCATCGTCAAGCTGGTTGTGATGTGTATTTGTAATCCCAGTACTTGGGAGGCAGAGGCAGGAAGATTTCCAGGAGTTTGAGGTTAGCCTAGTCTACAATGTGCGTTCCATGATTTTCAGGATTACAGAATATGATCCTGTCCCCAGAAAACAGTAATAAAAAAGGAAGAGTGGGGGGCTGGAAGATGGCTCAGTGGTTAAGAGCCACCATGTGCCTGCTCTTCCAAAGGTCCTGAGTTCAATTCCCGGCAACCACATGGTGGCTCACAACCATCTGTAAAGAGGTCTGGTGCTCTCTTCTGGCTTGCAGACATGCACACAGACAGAATATTGTATACATAATAAATAAGTATTTTAAAAAAAAGGAGTGTCCTCAGATGCCCACCCTGGGACCCAGAGTCAAAGGCTAAGTGCTCATCTGGAAATGGCTCTGTCCTCTCCTCCTGCAGCATCACGAGTTCCTGACAGCACCCCAAATACACGAGGGTTGATCTCTGAGTGTGTAAAATCCTGGCAGCACCCCCAAACCCACGAGGGTTGATCCTCTATGAGTGTGTAAAATCCTGGTCCCGGTTTCTAGGAAATCCTAAGTAGGTTGCCTGGGCTGAGGGGCGAGTGGAGAAGGGTGGTGCAGTAGGAGAGTGAGGTTTGTAGGCATGGCGATGCTGTCAGTCTTTAACATCCTGGGCCTAGCGGAAGCCTCGTCTGTTTATAGATGGTCCTCTTAACCATTTCCCGGGTCCAGGCTCTTTGATTCCGGCAGTGCAGCGCCCGCTCATGCTTGTCTCCTGTGCGTAGGGCTTCCTGAACTCCTCTGAGCTTTCTGAACTTGCAGCTGGGCCCGGCACAGAAGGCGCTCTCAAGGACCACTTGACCTTAGCGATTGGTGAGTATCTGAGGGTTCTGGGAAGTGGAAGTTAAGATCAGGTTTCCCTGGTCTCTTGGTGTCCCCCCAAATCTCATTCCGTAATTGGAGGCAGGTGGTAGGAGTGAATATGATAGAAATGTGTCATACGTACACATGTGTGACGCTGTCAGTAATAAATGTGATAGAAATGTGTTATATGCATGTGTGACGCTGTCAGTAATAAACTGATAGCAATGTGTCAATCATATATGAAATTCTCAGTAATAACTAATAAAAAAGAATGACAAGCTTACGTGCCTCTGAGGGCAAGAGTGTGTGAATCTGGGTTGGCCTTTCGGGAAGCAGCAGACACCCTGAAGAGCCAAAGGAGGCAGCATCCCCAAGCTCTGACTGGGTAGCTATTGAGGGAACTGAGTTCTCACCACGCACTAAACAAAGATGAGGCAGCTCTAGCTTCCAGGTGACCCCTTCTGTGTATGTTGTAGGGAAAAACACACTAAAGGTGAGAAGAAAATTTAAAGGGTTGGGGAACGGCCCTGGCTGTATTTCCAGAGGACCCTGGTCTGATTCCTAGCACCAGCTTGGTGGCTAGCGACCGTTTCTAACTCCAGTTCTGAGAGATTCTGGCTTCCAGGGGCACAGCATGCACGTGATTCGCAGGCACCCATGCAGTCAGAACACCCTACACATGAAATAAAAAGAAATCATTTTTTCTAAAGAAAATGTAAGCTCATATGCTTTAGGAATGAGCTGGTGAGTTTATGAGGATGCCTGTCTGCAGAAGCCATTGTGGGGGAGCCCTGCCTGGCCATGGGGCTTCAGGAGGGCCGCTTACCCCCTTTCCATGTGTCGTGATGGAGCGAGGGAAGCAGACTGGCTTTTCACTGCTGGGAGTATTCTTGCCATCAGCAGCTTCTAGTCAAGGCATAGTTCTGCTTTTGCAAGGTGACCTCGTACTGCTGCCCAGCGAGTCCTGGGTGAGCAGCCAGACCAGCAGCTGTGTTAAGAAATCCTGAAAGAAATGGGGGTTTTGACCTTGGCAGCTTCTGGTAGTTGTCTGTTGGGTAGAATTCTGATCTGTTTTCCTGTTTACTTGATTTCTGGGTCTTTCTCACTTTATAACCTCTAGCTAAAAGTGTGGCTGTCACTGCATTTTCCTCAGACCCTGCTGTTTGCCCTTTGTTCCTCCCTATTCTTTATTTTGGCTTCTGTTGGACGGGATCCCGGGGAAAAGGAGAAGACTAGAGTCTGCTTTTGGGTCTCATGAGGTTTTGAGAGTGTTATCTTTGTACTTCTGGCAGGCGGAAGTTGAAACTGTCAGGGGCTTTTGGTTATAGACCTTTCCCAGACCCTGGTGGTGATGGGAGTTGTGTGTTTCTGTGTGGTTGTGTTTTCAACGGAGTGGTGTGGTGGGGAGAAAATCCAGTTTCTGCTTCGGGGTCCACTCTGAGTTGTAATTCCAACTCTGCCACATATAGGTGGGTGTATCGCTTGACCTCTCTGAGCCTGAGTTTAGTCTGATGAAAGTAGCCAGGTTCTGAGTGCCCGCTATGCATGAGACACCAGAAGACATGCTTCTTGCATATGTCGCCTCTTTATTTCTTGCAGTAGCCCTGAAGGGTAGGTAGTATTTCCATTGTATAGGTGAGGAAGCTAAGGCTCGGGCAGTTGATAAATGCCCAAGGTCACAGAGCCAGGAAGAGGCAGAACTGCCCTGTGAGTCTGTGGGAGCCAGCCCCATCTAGGTATCTTGTAGGGACCCTGCCTCCTAGGATACAAGATGAGGCTCGCATCTTCTGTCTCATTGAAGTTCACTGCATGGACAGAAAGGTCGCCGTGCACACCGGTCACATTCATGCCACCCTGGTCACCACAATCCAGTGGTCGTCGTTTCTTGGTTTTGCTCTTTTATAGGGAAACTGGGAGAAAACATGATTCTTAAGCGAGCTGCCTGGGTGAAGGTGCCGTCTGGGTTCTATGTTGGCTCTTACGTGCACGGAGTAACCCAGAGCCCCTCCCTCCACAACCTGGTCCTGGGGAAGTATGCGGCCCTGGTCATCTGCGAGATCTGTGAGCAGAGCGCAAACCTGCAGGATGTGGGCCGCCGCCTGGGGCAGCATGTGGTGGGCATGGCCCCTCTCTCGGTTGGCTCCATGGACGATGAGCCTGGAGGAGAGACCGAGACCAGAATGCTGTCCCAGCCGTACCTGCTGGACCCTTCCATCACGCTGGGGCAGTACGTGCAGCCCCAGGGCGTTTCTGTAGTGGACTTCGTGCGCTTCGAATGTGGAGAAGTGGAAGAGGCAGCAGAGGCCGAATAGGTTTTTGGCCCAGGTGGAAATAATTTATTTTTAGTTCTGGATTTCCTTATTAAAAATTATTTTCTAAACCTCTCCAACCCTCGAATTTGTTTTTTTTTAAATATTTATTTATTATATATACAATATTCTGTCTGTGCGTATGCCTGCAGGCCAGAAGAGGGCACCAGACCCCATTACAGATGGTTGTGAGCCACCATGTGGTTGCTGGGAATTGAACTCAGGACCTTTGGAAGAGCAGGCAATGCTCTTAACCTCTGAGCCATCTCTCCAGCCTCCAACCCTCGAATCTGTTTTCTCTTTTTAGTTTATAACGAAATTATATACTTGCGGGTAAAGTTGTTAAATAGTAATAAAGTAGGATTTTCCTTATTTGCATAATACTGGATTTAACTGTTTTTGAAATTTTGAAAAACTGTGTATGAGCACACACATGCCGGGCTTGTGTGGTAAGCACTTTTACCCAGTGTTATTCTTCAGGCATCTGCACTGGCCTGCCCTTGGGGTCCTGACCGGATACATCCTCAGCTGCAGTCACTAAGAGCACCTCCAGTGTGCATTCGCTATGTTCTCATTTAAAAGATGGCCTTGCCCACTCCCATCTCTTTCTATCTCTCTCTTTTCTTTGGCTGCTTCCATCCCCAGAGGCCGGTCTCCTCCCTCCCCTTCCTCCTTTTCCCATTCCCTTTCCCCCAATTAAAACAAAACAAAACAAAACAAACAAAAAAAAAGTGAGCCCTGGCACATGACATCTTTCTCTCTTTTGCCATTTTTTTGAATTACAGCACCCAGTCCCCATTGTCAATCTATCGCATTGTTCCTTAAGTTTCTTACAGACTCTGTCTTGTTCTGTGACAAAACATTCTCTGATTCTGCATCCATTCTGTGACATTGTAGACCGTGCATCTTTTCTGGAGCTTCCCCTGCAGTGTTAGCCTGTGGTCAGGATTTCATACTGCTGATGTGCTAGAGTTGTCTGGAAGCTGTGGGCTCAAATGCTGATGACTGCAGTGCTGAAGTGTACACACTAGCGTGTGTCCCAACAACTGCAGCGTGCCCTCTGAAGTGTGCACACACAAGCATGTGCCCCTGACTGCAGCGAGCCCTCTGAAGTGTAGACACACTAGCGTGTGCCCCTGACTGCAGCGAGCCCTCTGAAGTGTAGACACACTAGCATGTGCCCCTGACTGCAGTGTGCCCTCTGAAGTGTGCACACACTAGCATGTGCCCCTGATTGCAGCGTGCCCTCTGAAGTGTGCACACACAAGCATGTGCCCCTGACGACTGCAGCGTGCCCTCTGAAGTGTGTACACACTAGCGGGTGCCCCTGACAACTACAGCATGCCCTCTGAAGTGTGTACACACTAGTGTGTGCTCCTGGCAACTACAGCATGCCCTCTGAAGTGTGTACACACTAGCATGTGCCCCTGACGACTACAGCGTGCCCTCTGCAGTGTAGACACTAGCGTGTGCCCCTGACTACAGCGTGCCCTCTGAAGTATAGACACACTAGCATATGCTCGTAAAATGTGTGTAATTTCCTGGGTAGCTATGAGTCAGGTTTTGACATTCTTGTGCCCGAGACAGAAATATATATAATAGTTCAGTTAACTACACGGCTCCACAACATAGCCATTTATTTATTTGCTTTTGATGCTGGGGACTCAGGCACACTGCCTGGTAAGTGTTTTCTACTGTGCATTTTTTTTTTAAAGATACATTTTCATGTGTATGAGTGTTTGCCTGCATGTGTGCATATGTACCGTGTCCATGCCTGGTGCCTGCTTGAGATCAAAAGAAGACATTGGAGCTCCTGGAACTGGAGCTACAGATGTTTGTGAACCACCATGTGGGAGCTGGGGACTGGCCCTGGGTCTTCTGCAAGAACAGTAAGTGCTCTCAACCCCTAAGCCTTCTCTCCTGCCCTACACTGTGCACTTTAAAAAAAATACTGAGCCATACTGGGTGGTGGTGGTGCACACCTTTAATCCCAGCACTCGGGAGGCAGAGGCAGGAAGATCTCTGTGAGTTTGGGGCCAGCCTGGTCTACAGAGCGAGTTCCAGGGCAGGCTCCAAAGCTGCAAGGAGAAACCCTGTCTTGGAACCTCTTTCCCCACCCCACCCCCAAAATAATTTGGAGACAGGCTCTTTGTAAGTCACTGAGCTTGGCCTTGCATTCACCCCACAATCCAGGCAGGCCTTGACCTGTGTGCCTGTCCCAGCTGAGCCGGTAGCTGGGATTACAGGTTTGTGACCCAGGCCCAGCTTCAGCATGGCCTCTCTACTTTCTCAGCACTCAAATGCTACGTAACTAAAGTCACCATAAGAAGGAAGACTGGAAAGGACGCTGATGTGCTCGTGTGGCCTCTTTATTTGAAAAGTTGAGCATGCTCTGGCACATGGTAGACCTGGGCCTTTGGAGTCTTCAGTGCGTGCAGTAACGCCAGTGTTTGCGGGTACAGGGTGTATGTAGTTTAAAGCAAATGTAGGCCCTGAGGCATTAGATATTTTAAGCTCAGTTTCCGGTTCTCTCTCTCAACCTGTCTACATTCATGCTTTCTGCTGAGGCCACAAAAGCCAAACCATGAGTAGGTAGCCTTCTAGTGTACGACAACCAAAGAACGCCAGGGTGCATGGGAAAGAGAAAAGATCATGCCGGGCCTTTCAAATCTGTTGTATCTGAAGCTGCCGAATGCCAGGCTCAGTTGGTGTGTGACTTCTTGGCTGATGTTGGCACTATGTGCTTGCTCTCTCCTGTGGTCGGACACCAGATGCCTGGCTTTAGAAAAGCCCCCTTTCTTTCTTCAGCTGGAGCTGTTTCCAGCCAGGCAGAGCGGTGAACTGCCCTCTTGTCATGCCGAACACAGACACAAAGTCTTGCTCCGAGAGGTAATTCTGCGAGAAAAGAAACTTGTAGTGAGACGGAAGGCAGGGCGGGCACCAGTGCCAGCAGGTGAGGGATGGGCGACTGGGCGCTTGCCTAGCATGCAAGAGGCCCTGCCTGGCTTTGAGCCCTGGAAGGGCAGCATCAGATGGATGTCCAGGAAGAGTGTAACAGACCAAAGTTCTTCACTGGCCTTGGAGTCCCACTGGGCCAGTGGGAGAAGCTGATTGGGGGCATGCAACTTGTGGGACCATCATCTCCTCACACCATGTGGGTCCCGGGTGCCGAACTCAGGTCATTAAGTTGGACGGCAGATGCCTTTACCCTCTTGAGTGATCTTGCCAGCCGGGAGGTGTTTATTTTAAAAAGAGCGGCATCAGCCGCTTTTGAACCATCCCTGGCTGTTAATTACGATTATGCCAGGGAAGAATTTGGGGCATGGTGAGCAAACAGGTTAGTTCACAGTAGCGCACGGTGGCTGGACTGGACCAGCCGCAGAGAGGCTACCGGATGGATGCCTTTGGGAGTAGGAAGGAAGTCAAGGAGGAGCCTCCAATTGAGTCAGAAGCGCAGATGCCCCTAGAGTACCCACCGTGTGTCCAAGCTCCTGAGCCATTTCTCGAGCTTGGTGCTTTAACCTGTGGGGAGTCCACCCCCCACCTTCAGCCCCACAGCTGCATACCTCCTTTTTGGCAGGGTTCACGTCCTCGGGCAGCCCCTGGTTCTGACTTTTCCGTAGGACTTCGATAGGGTGATACTTTGGCTCACTCTCATTAGAATTCAGGGAGAGGGTTGCGTTCTTCATATCCTACGTAAGGGAAGAGTACAGGCATGGGCAGGGACTGGGGTCTCACGTGTCAGTTCTGTGTGTGAGGTTTACATTTCGGCTTCTGCTGCTTTACTCTTTGTGATCATCTTCCAGAATGGTGGTCCCCAAACCTGGACGCATGTCAGAATGACCTTGGAAAGGTGATTCAGCAGGCCTAACGTGAGTGCTTAGAGTCAGGGCGGTGTACACACCACACTTAGGTCTTTACTGTATTTATTATGTAGTACTGCATTTATTATGTAGTGCATACTTAGGTCTTTACTGTATTTATGTAGTGCTGAGATTTGAACCCAGAGCTCGTGGGCTAGGCAGGTGCTCTGCCACTGCCCCCCCCCCCCCGCCTCCAGCTGCAAGTCTTCCCTGAACGCTCTGATCACACCCCTTTTCTTGGCATTTTTATTTAGGTCCCACGTTTCCAGTGGCTAAACGCCTTGAGACTGAAGGCACACTTACGTCCGGTTTAAACACACTAACCACCTCCCATTCGCTTTGGGATCTGACTTCATAGAGCACAGTGTTTGGAACACCTGTGCCTTGCATCCCATCCTGACACTCCAGGACTGCTGGCTGCAAGCGTCACTCTTTTAGCTGTTGAAATAGGGATCAGCAGCCTGAGCTGCTGCAGATTTCATTGTCGGAAACTAGTAAAGTATTATTTGGGTTAGAAGCTTGTCTCTGAGAAATACTGCCAGTAACCTTAATCTCTCCTGAGAGGCGGAAAAGCTGAATAATAGGTAGGTTTTATTCTTATTCTTCCTTTCTTATTTGGCTTGGTTTTTGACACAGGGTCTCATGTATCCCAGGTTGGCCCTCCACTCAATACGTCACCAAGGATGACCTTAAACTCAAGTTGATTTTGTACATTATGTCTGTGGGGGTGTCTATGGGCACACAAGTACAGATGCTCTTGGAGTCAGAGGAATATATACTTCTGGGGCTGTAGTTACCGTCTCTTGTGAGCCACCTAACACACGTGCCGGCAGTCTGGAGGAACAGCGCATGCTCTCTCTGCTGAGCCAGATCTCCACCCCCATCCCCTCAGCCCCCAACTAAGTCAGTTTTCTACCCCAGCCCCCCCCCTTCGTGTTCTGTAAGGCGGGAAATTAGGAGCTTGGCTCTAAGACCTGCTTTTTCTCCCCCTCCTTCACCACCCACTATTTTTGAGACGAAGGTCTTACTGTGTAGACTAGGTTGACCTAGACCTCAGGATTCTCCCATGTTTGCTTGCGACCTGCTTTTCTGCTGATTTAAAATACCTCTGAGGATAGGTGTAATTCAGCAGTGGAGTCTAGTCTGCATCTCAGACAAAACAAAAACCTCTTCGCATCCAAGGAGACAACTGGGGGAGTCCTTAAAGGCACCAAGGGTTTGCCCGTGTGGCATCTGTAGCATATGCTGTCGCTCCGTGCTTCTGGAGAGCCTTGTCTAAGGGGAGCAGCACCCCCTCCCTCCCCTCGGCCGGGATTCACATGAGAGCAGCGGCAGCCTTGTCTGAGGGTAGACCCCACTTACAGCGGTGATTCGCACGATAGCAGCGGTGTCTCCCAGTTCTTTCTTTAACTGCTCGTATGATTTTCCCGCCTGCGAGGAGACAGAGAAAACAGGATGAGGTATTGGCTGATAACAGGGAAGAGGCCTCTGAGGGACGGTGTGTATTTTCAGGAAAAGCAAAACGTGGTAGAATCTTAAAGGATTTCGGTATGCTTGAGGTTCACATAGGGTCCAAAGGGCCTTACACATGATCAACGTTCTTTGGTGGCAAGAAGAAGCAGGTGGCCGGCTTTCAGAGCTCAGCATTCTCCCATGGGAATGAAGCCCAAGAGAAGCAAAGCAAGGCAAAGAATTCAGAGGGAAGGGAGAGTGAGGGCCTGGTTTTACTTGGCTCTTGAATCAGTACCCAACCCCCGCCCTGGGTTCTGAGCTCCCTGGCAGTCAGAACGGCACCCCCAGTTTCTTACACTCCACATGTGAGGGTCCCATGCCAGGAACCAGCCTGTGAAGGTAGGAGGCTCAAAGCCCTGCTTGATGATCAGGATCGGTGTGTCGGGGTCTCGGCCGCTGGGGTGAGTTACCAGGTACTCCTGGGCAGTCGAGAGGGCCCCTTCCTTCTCTGTGGCATTGGCCTCGGCTCCTATCCATAGGAACACCTGTGGCACCAGTTTTATAATGTCAGTGTGGCCACGGCAAGGACCAAGTGCTGCTATGTACACCGCCCCATCCCCCAAGCCAGTCAGAGCCACAGAAAATGCTCTTGGCCTCATGTGTGGTCTCAAGAGGAAGGTTCTAGAAGAAGCTTGATTTTGTGATTTTTTTTTTAATCACCATGTGTCTCTTCATTCCCAAACCTAAGTAAGCTTCCTGAATTAATAGCCTACAAGACACTCATGTTTTCTCTGTGTTCCTCAAACCTCAGCAGAGCCAAATGTAGCTCTTCTTGTCTAAGTGCCTACTGAAATGTCCATTCTTGGTATGCCTGAGCCATCCAGACAGTCACCCTAGGCCAGAACGTCACGACAGTCAGGGCCATAGTCTATATCCAGTGAGTTACTGGACTTGCCAGCTTGACCAAGGCAGACCTCTGGCCTGTCACCACCTCTCTCTTCCCGTCACTGCCTTCGTGCAGCCAGCAGCAGCTCTTTCTGGGCCCCCATCCTGCTCTCCAGTGATTGATAGGCCAGGTCCACAGTCCACAGCTACTTCTCAGATGCTACCCCTAGGGTGCATCTTAGCTCTGTCTTTCTGTTTGTTTGTCTGGTTGGTTTTGAGACAGTATCTCACTTTATAGCCCAGGCTTACTCTTTCTCTCTGTAGCCAAGGCTAACCTTGAACTCACAGAAATTCTCCTGCCTCAGCCTCCCAAGTGCTGGGATTGCAAGTGTGACCCACCATGTCAGGCTTATTTATTCTCTGGTAGGATTTCACATCTTGCTGTCCAGGTTCCCGTTCCTCTGCCCTACTCATCCTTTGCTATTTATCGGGGAGCCATCTCCTCCAGGAGATTCCTCTCAGAGCCCTGAACCGTACTAAATGTCTTCTATACCTCATAAAGCACTGATGATTCTTTGCCTGGCCCTCCCCACTAGCCTATAAACACCGTCGGGTGGGCTCTTCACGGGCAACATTGCTTAGCACAGCCATTAGCATGGAGGAAGCTAGCTAAGCTGCTCTGAAGGCAACGACACATTCAGGGAGATGTCTCATTCATACTTCCTAGAAGGCTTTGGGATCTGGTGTCATCCATCCTCAAATAGGGGTGAGTTTCATTGCTGTTGTTTTGAGACAGGGTTTCTACATGTAGCTGTCCTGAAACTCACTCTATAGACCAGGCTGGCCCCAAACTCAGAGACTGCCTGCCCCTGCCTCCCGAGGGCTGGGATTAAAGGCGTGCGCTGCCACACCGGCTTAGCTGGAGAGTTTTAAACACCTTTCTGTTCTGACTGTGGCATAAAGCACTCTAGTAACCACTGAAGATGTTTCACTTAGTTGGCCCAGCACTAGCTTTCATCCTGGGTAGGGACGCCACACATAAACCGGCCCAAACTAGGATCTTTACTAGTTGTCCTGAACTCTGGGGCTGTGTCTTACCTGGTCCCAGGTGTCCAGGAGCATCACATCATCTGGGTTTAGGTCATCCTGGGTGAAGTCCGTGACCTCAGTAACAAGGAACCGGCCAGTCTTATTGGAACATTCGAAGAGCCGGACCTGGACGTCCAGGATTTCTTGCTGTAACCTGCAGGACAGTCACACGGAAGGGCAGAGCTGCACAGGAATGCTGGTCATTGTGTGGGTGCCTGTGTGTGTGTGCACGTGTGTGCATGTACACATGAGGGCAGAGGTGGCTTTGGGTGTCTTCCACCCTTGTTTTTGAGACAGGGTCTCTCACAGAGCCTGGAGTGTGTCAATTTGGCTAGACTAGCTGGCCAGCAGTCTAAGGGATCCTCTTGTCTCCACCCCCAACATCCACCACCCCCAGTGGCAGGATTGCACCCTGTGTTTCTGTAGCTATTTTTTGTCTGTCTGTCTGTCTTGTAATGTACATTCTGAGGGATGGAACTCAGGCCCAACGCTTGCACAAGGACTATGCTGTGTCCCCAGCCCAGAAATCATATTTAACAACGTGAAGGATCTTAAGATCTGTGCAGGCCACAAGCCTAGAGGCCAGAGGAGCCAGGATACAGGGCAGGTGTGTTCACATACCTTTTGTCATTAGCATAGGGTGCTTTTCCTCCCAGAAGGCCCCAGAACTCAGGTGGCTCCTGGCCCTCAGCCACAGTGTCTGCATTGCCATCACAGAGAAGTTCGACCAGCTCCTTAGCCATTGCCCGCTCGTCCCCACTAGACCCCTGAGTGGGTGAGGGAGGCATAGGCGTTAGAAACATGAGGCTCTTTGATAGGGGACGTAAGACTTTTGAAACTGTATTGGGTCAGCTCTGAGCTGCACGGGGAGGGGAGGCAGGCAGGACACGAAGGCAAAGGGTAGGCCTGTTCTGGAGCCCACAGCGGTCACAGACAGAAGTCACTGCTGGTTTAGCTTCATCTAGAATCCTAGCACACGAGCTCCCTGATTGTAAATATGGGGGTATTTAAGCCTAGGGTCGTGCACATGGATAGTAAATGCCTTGTCTCTAGAGTAAGCACTAGATCCCCCAGGCCTCGCATGCACTTTTCAGTCTTTCTCTTGGTGGAAGGGTTTTCGAGACAGGGTTTCTCTGTATAACAGCCCTGGCTGTCCTGGAACTCACTCTGTAGACCAGGCTGACCTCGAACTTACAGAGATTCACCTGCCTCTGCCTCCTGAGCACTGGGGTTAAAGGTGTGCACCACCACCTGGTCTCTGTGCTGTAATGTTTTTTTTTTTTTAATTACAGTAAAATTGACTGTGTTGGGCTCCACAAGGTTTAAAAACAGAACTCGGTTGCCACAGTGCCATTACCGTGACATTCCTACCCCTCTGGAGGGGAGCCCTGAGTTGTGAACTCGTGACAGCTACTAAACTAGGCTGTTCTCCGTTAGAACGATCTCGCCGTGTCTAGACTCTCTTCAGCCTCGGCGTTCGGATACTTTGAGTTCGCATGAATTGAAGACTCCTCCATGCTGAGTACATGAGTGGCTGTCATCTTCACTGCCGAGTGCTCCGTTGTATGAACACTTGTGTCTATCCGGTCTCCAGATTTCTTATTTGAGAGGATTGTGAATAATGTGCTCAACACAAGTGTTGACAACTCTTTGTGTAAGGGGTTTTTGTTTGCTGGGTATTTTTTTTTAAGATTTATTTTATGTGTCTGAGTGTTTTGTCCGTGTGTGTATGCACTAATGCACACAGTGCCTGTGGAGGTCAAAGAGAGCACTGGATCTCCTGGAACAAGGGTCACAGATGGCTGTGAGCCACATGTGGGAACTAGACCCAGGTCCTGTGCAAGAGGCACCTCTGCTGAGCCGTTTCTCCAGCCCCTAAAGAGTGTGTGTCTCTGTGTTCGTGTGTGTGTATATGTGCATATGTGTGTATGTCTGTATGTGTGTATATATCTGTGTATGTATGTATATATCTGTGTATGTGTGTATATGTATGTGTATGCGTGTGTGCATATATGTGTGTATATGTGCATATATGTGTATATGTGTGTGCATATATGTGTGTGTATGTGTATATATGTGTGTATGTGTGTGCATATGTGTGTATGTGTATATATGTATGTCTATGTATGTATGTATGTGCATGCCTCTGTGTGTGTGCCGGTTACTCTCAGCCTTCCATGTGCTGGGGATCAGAACCCGGGTGTTTGTGCTGTAACAGCAAAGCCCCGTACCGGGTGCGCCATCTCCCCAGCCACCGAAGACTGTGGTTTAGTCTACTGCTGTAAATATGCAGGGGTTGTGTTGCTGGATTGTGTGGTAAATGTGAGTGTAATTTTTTAGAAACTGTCAGGCTCTTTTCTACAATACACCCCATTTTGCAGTCCTACAAACAGTGCAGGAAGTTCCTGTGCCATGTTTTATATTATTTGTGTTTTTGTCATCCGATAAAAGTGCCGTGACACCTTACTATGGCATTCCCCAGCAGTGATATCCGGCGTTTTTCTTAGCCAGTTCCCCATTTTTTGCTTGTTTCTTTTCTTTCTTTTTGGCACAGGGTCTTGCTGTGCCAGGCTCTCCTTGAGCTTGGGATGTTTCCACACCAACCTCCCAAGTAGCGAGAAATACAGGTTCGTGCCACCATATTCATTTCCTCTCATTTAGTTAATTGACTAATTAATTATTGTATGTTTTTATGATGGAGGCACGCATGCCAGAGTACATGTATGGAGGTCAGAGGGCCACTTTTAGGAGTTAGATCCCTCCTTCCACCGTGGGATGCAGGGATCAAAGACAAGCATCTTTACCCCTTGAGCCAACCCACCGGCACCCTCTTCACCCCACCCCAGAAACTCTTTTGGTTTTTTGAGATAGGTTCTGACTATGCCCAGACAGTCTGGCCTCGGACTCACGATCCTCCTGCCTCAGCCTCCCAAGAGCTGGTTAAGCCACATATCGCCACACCGGGCCCTGAATTCTCTTTTAAAGCTCTGTACAGCCTGGAGTGATGGCATCTCTTGTGCTTTGTCCTTGTCAGCCTGTCCTGCCACAGGGGACGGGTGCTGACTCAGGGTCCATGCATGGGAACACACGCCATGTCTCTGGGGGCCTGACTGCGGAATGTGGACGCTTCCTCTGAAGACTGGGGGGGGCAGGCCCTCTGAGGCACCAGCCTACTCTTTAGTGCCTTTCGCCTTGCTGGCGGGGCTGAGGGTGGAGCCAGGGCAAGCGTGGCAAGCTCCAGGGGCTAGGACACCAGCAGCCATCTTACCTTGCCATACCACAGGTAATGTTCCGTCTGAGTTCGCAGCAGGAAGACGTCGTTAGAGTTGAGCGAGGAAGCGAAGGCCGAGACTTCCACTGCTTTGGTGTTGGATTTGTCATTTCCTTGGATCTGGAAGAGTCTTACTGGAGGGTCAGGCTCTGCATTTCCCTTCCTGGAAGTCCCGCCCTAGAGAGAAGAAAAGTGGAGGCCAGATCCATGGAGGACCCTGTGAGGTGGCTGTTGTGGACCGAGATGTACTGGATCCCATCTTTACCCCTCAGGGTCTCCTAGGCTACCTGGAAAGGATCCAAGTGGGAATGCCGCCCCGCCAGTGTCTGGCACCGCTCACCGACCTCAGTCTACGTCTGTGACGCAGATGTCACTCCAGATTGGCTTCTACATGGCAGGGGCTCGATACGACAACTGACATGTCACTGCGTTGCCTGCCCATGCTCCACCAGGGCTCCACAGAAGTGGGCCTGAGACATCTGGGCAGTGAGGGAGGAGGAGCAGAGCAGTGTCGGAAGGGTGCAGGGTGGGCAACTGAGGCAGCTACGCCTGTACCGGTAACACGGCTCGGATTGCAAAAGACGGTGAGCACCAACTGGACAGGGGCTTGGACTCGCTAGGCATAGAGAGTCCCTTGACAGTCACTGTCATTGTCCTCTGTGTCGGCCCCTGACGCACACCCCCCTCACCCAACCCTGGCCTGTCCTGCTCTCTGCGGACTCCTCAGCCCTGAGCATCCCTGCACAGGTGGTTTCGTCTGCAGGCCCTCACCTCGTAGATAACCAGTTTTCCTTTAAAGATGGCCATGAAGTGGCGTGGCTCCTTCCCCATGCTCACCCGAACCTGCACTGGGGCGCCACCAAACTGCTGGTCCACCTCCACGGCCTGGTAGGCCGAGGCTGCCAGCTCATCCTGTGAGGCGTGGCGGCCCTGCAGCGGTGAGAGAGGAGTGATGGATGGACCTTGGTCCCATGGCCGGGGCATCTGGATCCATCACTGAGAGCTGGCTGGCCTACCTGCCAGATGTAGAGGATGTAGTGGGGCTTCCCATTTACTTCGTAAGTGTAGAACACCAGATAGCAGTCTCCCCCGTAGAAGAAGCCATACCACTGATGTTCCACAGGGACTAGCTCAAGGTTTTCAATTCTCCAGACCTGGGCACAAGAGGAGACACTAGGCTACCCAGAGAGAGGCATCCTGTTCAGAGAATTCCACCTAAGAGGGGATGGTGCTAACATCCACCCCAAGTACTCCCCCTCTCTCTCTGCGTCTTTTCTGCCTGAAAGAGCAATCACATTGCATGATATGAATTCTGAGGGTGAGGGTCACAGGTCACACTGGTCCAGTACAACCTAGATCTTCGTAGACTGAGTGATGGCTTAGATGTGTCTTCTAAGTGATGGCCATTGTGGGGGTGTGTCTCTCACTTTCCTGAATGTTGTGGGGACCAGCCAACTCCAAGCCTCTTAGAGAACACAGAATCGTGGAGTATCTGCAGAACAGGCTGCCCTCCTCTGCAGCAGGGCCATCCCAGGGGCCTAGTGTTGCCCTTGCCAGGCGCACCTCAACTTTGCCATTGCCGTCGTCCACCATCCTCTCCTGGGCGGCCACTTCCGGCTTGGTGTGTAGGAGACTCACGTCGAACTTCTCCTGGAAAACTTTAGCTGCAGAGAAAGGGGTGGAGAAGGCCGAGTGAGCAAGACACACACATGCCCCATCCTAGGGCTCCAAACACAAGAACACACACGAGGGGGAAACTCACCAATTTTGCCAAAGCTAAATATTTTGCCCAAGCCTGTAGTCTGGTCCTTCACGGACCATTTCTGGAACAACTGTTTGAACATGGCCGACTCAGCACCATCATTGACGGTCTCCACGTTGGTGCTGCTGGGGTAACCCTTCATCTTGATGAAATCCTACGGCACCCCCATATAAAAGCATGTCAGCCAGGGCATATGCCGAGTGTTTGCTCATCTGGCAATTCATTCCTCTGAAGTCAGGTGGTAGGACCCTCCCTTTTCCGCCCTTGGGAATCATAGCCAATTTCTACCTCACTTTTGTCTAAGGTCCCATGTAGTCTGCCACCAAAAGATACAAACACCTGTGTCTCCCCGCTAGACTGCCATGGCTATGACCATTATGGGTTGATTTTGCAAGACCTACTGTGTAACTCTACTGACTTTGTATCATAGTTCAGTTATTGCTTTTTCTTAAAAGAAATTTCGAGACAGGCATTTACTGCTTTTAAGGAATCACACCTGGGTTATGTGCTAGGTCTGAAAAATTTAGTAAATGCCCCTTGAAGACTGGTCCCCTAATGTGGACATGTGACACCCCCCTAACAGCAGCACCTTCCAGAAGCAGCTTCCATGTTCCTGTATGGTTCTGAGTGTTTTATGACTTTTTCTTTCTGTTTGTTTTGTTTTTCGAGACAGGGTTCTCTGTGAAACCCTTGGCTATTCTGGAACTCACTCTGTAGACCAGGCTGGCCTCGGACTTACAGAGATCTACCTGCCTCTGCCTTCTGAGTGCTGGAATTAAAGGCATGCACCACCACCTCCCACATGGTTCTGGGAGACAGAGGTACCCCTGTTAGATATCAGGAACTGAAGCTCAGAGGTCTTGTTCAGAACACTCAGCTGGGAAAGGTAAATCCTGCCTCTGTATCCCACTCGCTCTGTTTACTGTGAAGTTCTTGCCACTTGTTCTGTGCTCAGTGCCTGGTGTGTCTGGGCGCATGTCTCTGGTGACCCTGGCAGAGTACTTGGGTGGCATCACACATTTACAGCTCCTACCAGGGCTTTGGACATGGCTGCCTGTTTCTCAACCTTCGTGGCTCCTTTGCCTTTCCACATGTAGATCTTGGTTCCGCTTTGGTCCAGAATGTAGCAGTCCTGAGTCAGCCAGGAACAGGTATGGTTACTGATACATGAGCTGGAAGGAGGACTCTGCCCAGGGTCTGCCTTTGAAGTTACTCCGGCTTTCCCAAGCTAAGTCCTCTCCAGGTCTACTCACATCATGGTTCAGTAGGTCCTGGACCAGAGGCCTTGTTGCCACCTCTGTGATTGCCAGCTGCCCAGCTGCATCCGAGACACTGGGAAAGGAGGGAGACTAACCTGTACCTTCTCTCTGTAGAGCAGCTAAAGCCATGCTGTAGTGCACAGCTTGAGTCCAGAGGGGAAGACAAACTGTTCTCTGGAGGTGATTGTGTGTCCCTCCCAAACTCTATCCCGTCCACATCCGCTGGTGTGGATATATCAGAGTACAGGAAGTCTCACCCAGAGGTCAGGAGACTCCTCGAGAGGGGCTGTCTCTGAGCTGCTTGTGGGGAGATACCTTTAAGAAGGCCGACCCAAAAGCACAAAAGTAGATGCCTCCGCCCAAGCTGAGTGCCTGGTCTTCTAGGGGCCATCTCCCCACCCCCAGCCTCCAGCCCACAGTCAGGATTGACTGCTCACTGATACAACATGATGTTTGATTTCTGCTGCTGATCCACGATCTCGTCAGGAACTGCAGGCTGGATAATGGAGCGCCGGCCAAGGGTGTCCTGGAGGATTGTCATCAGCTCCGGGCTGGCTGCCTCTTTGTCTCCCTCAACCACTCCGATTTCAGCACGGCCCCCTCGCTCCCTGTCCCGAATGTCCTTTGCCAGCAGCATGGCCTGCCAAAGAAGCCCACGGGAGACTCAACTCACCCAGTACCCCTTCCTTCCAGATGGCTTCAGTGGGAGCCACCAGGATTGCAGACAAATTACCCTGACACCGAGGAGCCCCAGGGTGAGACCTGCCCTTGTTCTAGCTGTAAGCCAGGGTCTGCTCTAAGGCAGGAGTCCTCCTGGAACCTCGGAAGGTCAGCCAGCATAGAAGGCAAAGGGCAAAGGCACCCAAGGAGCCCAGCTCTAGGCCTGGAGGAGATGGGAGAGAGTGAGACCTTGAGTTGCTCCCCACTGTTGCTCTCCGGGCCGTTCCACTGGATGATAACCATTCCAAGGTCCAGCAAGAAGACGTCGCCTCGGTTAAAACTGTCCCAGCTCATCTCCACCTGTGTGGGGAAGGTCAGGGCCATTTAGAGGGCTGGTCCTAGGCGTCGGGGCAGGACAGTCACAGGGTGGGACTCACCTCAGTGGCCCTGACGTTCCTCTTCCCTTTCACGTGTAGCAGCCGCTTCACGTTGTACGCGTTGGTCTCCACGTGCTTCATCCCAGAGGCCACGCCCCCCTTTTTATAACTGAGGGGATAGCAATCCAGTTACTGTTGGGCGCCTGCTCCTTGCTAGGTTCTAGGAGACTGTTGTGAATTAAATGCAGTAATGACATGCAGGCATGAGTTTCTACCCACGTGGGGTATTTTGCAAATGCGCAAAGTAAATGCAGACCTGCACCTGCTCTCCCGAGGGTCTCTTCGGTGTCTAAGGCCAGGGCTGTCTTTCTGAAGGGACATTTGAGCCGGGGTATTATAATACCAAGTCCCAAGAACCAGAAGGGCCGTGCTAAGGGCAGAGGGAACCTCGCAAGTTTGGATTATAGACGTGTGTGTGCCACACCCATGTTAAGTCTATGTATCCCTATACCTACGTGCAACCTCCCAGACCTCTCCCTGATGCTTCTCATATTCTGGCAGATTAATGTCCCTTCTTCATTTAGTGAAATGTGTCCTATTGCCTGTGTGCCTGATTTTTTTTTATAGAAAAAGAAGTTGGCCCTCTGCTGTACATCTCAGCCTGTGTCTTTGTGTGTGTGCTAGGTGTGTATTTAATCTGCTTCTGCCAATGCACACACCTCCTTGTGATGGACACCTACACTGACCACAGCCTCCTCCCACCACTAATACACTGTCGAGAATGCTCTGGAACAGCTGGGCAGTGGTGCACAGGCCTTTAATCCCAGCACCTGGGAGGGATCTATGCGTTCAAGGCCAGTCTGGTCTATGAAGTGAGTTCCAGGACAGCCAGAACTTTTACACAGAGATTCTGACTCGAAAAACAAAAACTATATAT